TATGGAACAATCATAGAGCTATTAAATGAAAACTCATGACAAAGAAGCATGTACACACGGTATGTTCATCTCCACGTTAATAAAAAAAGTACTGAATGGGCACAAACGCGTTCGAACACCTCTGGAAAGAGACCACTGGGGGGATGTCAAGGGTCAGGGTGGGAAGCAGATTTGTTCCTCGCTTTTCAGACATTTGAGATTTTGTACTATGTGCATCGTGCGAAAATTCAATACATACGATTTGACACGTAAGTATGCTGGTTCCTTTTGAAAACTTAGACCACGCCTAAAAGTTCACCATTCCTGCCCACTTTCTACCCCCCGTTTTCAGAGAATATTTTTCAGAGTGCCGAGTGCTGCCCAGGGGCACACAGTTGGAGAGAAGCAGAAGGGACAGAAACTAGCCTTTAGGGGCTCCACAAGGCGCAAGCCCCGTGGCAGGAAGGAGGCACCTATAGGGGAGAAGGCCCAATGGGTCAGCCCAGGAGGAGAGAAAGGAAGTGAGATCTGCTCCTCCTCTTCCTGGGGGGGGCAGCCAGACCCCCCCGCCACCATCTCAGCATGGCCGGGAGGAGCTCTAGGCCTCGGCAGCAACCTGCAGTGCAGGCAAGACGGACAGACAGCTGGAGAGATTGGGAGAAGGAAATTGACAAGGTGGAATCCCAGATGCGGCAGAGGGGACATGACACTCACACAGAGAGGAGGAAGCTGGGTGGACAGCACCTCAAGGACTGGCACAACCCCTCTCTTCCAGTCCCAGTACGTCACAAACACAGAGAGGATGATCTAGTGACAGCTGAACTCTGCCCTTCAACTTGGCCAGGCCACAGCTGAGGATATGCCCCAGAGCAGCATTTCGGGGGTCAGCGAGGTTGCAGTTGTCACGATGATCCCAAGATGCCTGTCGATGGCCATTTTCCTCTACCAGCACAGGTAAGGGTACTAGACTGCCATCTCACTATGGTACAGAGGACTGTGGAACTGCAGGACAAGGGAGGGCTGGCCCCTTCAGGAACGTGCATGCGTGTCTTCTTGTGCTTCGAATTTTTCTCAGCTTTCAATTCCTAGCAAGATAACAACTGATAGAATCCACATAAACAAAAGCTCTTGGGGATCCTCAATCAGTTTGGAGGGTGTAAAGAGGGCCCGAGACCAAAGAGTTTGAGAATCCCTGCCCTGGAAAGACTCTTCCAATACAGAGCCTTTGGGGACCTGTTCTAGCACATTCCTCAGCAGCACTGTTCCTAACAGACCTGGATACACCAACCGAGGCTGGACTGAAGCACGGGGTATAAATAATTGGCAATTACAGCCAGGGTGACAGTTCTGACCTGCACCTGTTTTGTAAATAAAGTTTTATTAGCATGTAGCCGTGCCCATTCATTTATGGACGGTCTAGGGTTGCCTTTGTGCTACAGGGCAGAGATTAGTAGTCTCAACAGAGACTGGCCCACAAAGCCACAAATATTTACTATTGGGCCCTTTGCAGAAAGGACTTGCTCACCACTGGCTTAAAGGACGTGCCCTCCACCAAGGAGCTCTCCTGGGGGACAGAAGGCCACAGTGATGGGGTGCTGTTGGCAGGGACCCTCCCTATGCAGCCTGAAGGACAAGTTTCTGGTCTCTGCAAAGGGACCATCGTACTAGCTGCCTGACCCTTCCCTCCAGGAAAACAGGGGCCAATCTGGCAGGACCATCTGGGACAGCACTGTGACAAATGACCCTCGTAAGGCCATTCCCAGGCCACCATTTTGACTGATCTGTCAGACTGACCTTAACACAGCCTTTGAGGCAGGCCTGGCCAATTTAACTACTCCCCTGAAATAAATTATCTAAATTAGTAGTTCTCAACCCCAGGGGTGAGGGTGAGGGTCTGCCCCCAGAGGACTCTGGGCAATGTCCGGGGACACTGGCAGTTGTCATGACTGGGGCACTCTTGGCGTGGAGTGGGTGGAGGCCAGGGACACTGCTCAGCACCTGCAGTGCCCAGGACAGCCCCACCACAGAGAGTGACCCAGCCCCAATCTCCACAGTGCCAAGAGGGACACCCTGAGCTACGGGATTTATTGCACCTTTATCGTGAACCAGGCACGGGGCTCAGCTCTTCATGTCCGTGACCTCATTGATTTCTCACTATGCTGCCATGTGGCGAGTCCACAATTAGCCCCATGCGAGAAATGAGGGCACAGAGGCCAGTGAGTGGCCAGACACTCTCCCGGGCAGAGGGAAGTTGGGAAGATTATGTAAAGTGTGGAACATTGTACCTGAGCGTGTTAAAGGCACCACCATTGACAGCTATCGTTATTTTTATGAGCAGTCAGAAAAAAGGCTGCCAGCTGCCTCGCCTTTGCCCGGGCTGGGCCTGCCGCCCAAAGTGCCCTCCCCCATTCAGCTCCCCGCATTTCCGCCAATCAAGTGACATAACCGCCATCCTATTCAGCCCAAAGGAGATCGTCACAAAACCTCCCATATCCTGAAGAAAGACTCTACTCTCCTCTGCTTCAGTCTCAAAGTCCCTGCAGACCTCGGGCTGCCCTGCCGTGTTTCTTTAAAAAAGAAAAAACAGACTGTGAACACTCCCTAGAACATTCTATAGAAATAGCAGTCCCCTTGCATCCACTGGACATGGGGTGGCTTTCTTGTCCCTATTTGCCTGCATATGCAGACTCTACAGGCTGTGTGCCTTTGTTCTCCACCCACCCGTCACTGTCCACAACTCCCCGCGGCCAGGCCGCTTCCTAGCCAGGCAACCTGGGGAAGTTGCATCACAGCTCTGAGGCCCAAAAAACAGAAGCGACCACACATTCCCTTACAAAGCTGCCACACGGGGAACCGCTGCTGGCGAAGGAAGTAAGAGGTGGCTATAGAGTTTGCACAGGAATATGGGATCTTTTCATAACTATAAAAGCTGCACTGTAAGAGGCAAAGCAGGGTCGAAAGTTTAGAAACCAGAGTTCCGGGTTCGAATCCCTGTTCCCTCCTGGGTCAGGGCAGGCCCTCCACAGGATTTTGGCCAGGCTTCCTCATCACTGACATCCCCAAGATCAAAGGCACAACAAATGTGTCCAATGGATATAAGTGTTCCTGTTATTATCACGCTTTAAACTTACACACATGTGACAATTACTTCCATATGGATCAAATATGATGTTACAATGAAGGGAGATGGGGTTTGGGTTACACGATGTAGACCCAAAATTCTCCAAGTGATCCGTTTAACCTGTGTACTTCATTATATACAAATTTTAACTATAAAAAAAAAAAGTCAATGAGAACAGAACCACACATACTGAACTCTAGTTAATCACAGGCATGCTTAAGTGTTTAGGGGTGATGTGATCGATGTCTACAACTTACTCTGAAATGCGTCCCCAAAACTAAAATGGATTGGTGGACAGAGAGAAAGAGAGAGCTGCTTGATAAACTGAATACAGCAAAATATCAATGGTAAAATCAACGTGTGTTTAGGTGTTCATAGCTATTTCAACTTTTCTGCAGTTTGAAACGTAAAAATTAAAATGCTAAAGCTCAGAGCCTGGCATAGAGCAGCACCCAGTAATATCCACTCCCTTGATCCTGAGAGGATGAGAATCCAACCCACCTTTGAATTATGCCATGAACTTAGCAGGTATATGCAGGTTTTCAGAAACTCTTCGTGAAATAAAGGATCCTGTCCTGAACGAATATACTGAGTGGCAAATCAAAATCAGTTTGGAGGCCACGAAAAGGAGCCACCATGGGAAAAGGACGGAGGAACAGAATGCCCAGCAGAGCTCCATGGTGATCACAGCCCTGCCCCTTCACCACGTGCACATGGCGGCACAAATCCCCAAGTTCTGGAGATCGGCTTCTCTGGTTTCTCCCCAGGCAGAGAGGGTTAACTCGGATTCCTAAGACTCAAGTCATCACGGCCTGTTACGGGAAGGAGGTTAAGGAAGGTCTCCAAGGGCACCGCAAGCCCAAGAAATTAATCACTGGGTCTCATTCTAAGTCAGCAGGCAGGATCCTCCCAGCCTTCAAAAGACCTGGCCAAGCGCAGAGCGCTTATTTTGCAATCTAGACACCAGATGGCAGCAGTACCCAGTTCCAATTTCGACAACAACAAAGTCCGGCATGTGCGGCCCAACTGCCGACTTTTCATCCAGTTCCAATAGTCTCTACAGCCCTGTCCCTACCTACACTCCACCCAACTCCAGGCTGGCCCCAGCAGACTCCATACCTTTTATGGTACTATCTCATCCTACCTGGGAAATCCTACTCACAGTACCCACCACAGTCCCCCAAAGACACCAGTGAAAGTGGAAACACCCCCCCAGGCACCAATGGCGAAAACATCCCAAAGGTGGGCACCTGTTAAAGCCAAGACGGCCACTTTAAACGCTACAACTGGCTGGGGAGAGAGTGTAGACAGAAGATAAGGGCCAGCGGACCCTGCGGAGACCACACGCCCCCTTTCACAGGCAGCCCGCTGGAGAGCAGGCCCAAAGTGGCGGAAATTCCTGATTTGCAAGCACCATCTCCTGACTTTGAATAAACCAATCCAAATTTCTAGAAAACAGACTCTATAAGGTCTGACGCTTAATGGGTGCAAGCTGTACGCTACCAGTGTGCATTTTAAAGAAACACCCTGTCCTTTCTGTCTTATCTCCGTGACAATTCCAGATCCTTCCTCGAAATTCCTCGGCCTGCTGGCGGCCACCTCCAACTTCTTTCTCTAGAAATTATTTTGAGGGGAACTTTAAAAAAAAAAAAATCTTTAAAAGCCCAGACGCTACAGATTCGAGTGCCAGCTGCCTGCCCAGGGTCGATCTGCGAGTCTGGCCTTTGTTCTTTCCTCTCGTAGGCATTTGAGGTTTTCTGTGGACTTCTTCCGGGAGATGTGAAGCGGGACCGGACGAGGCGGGGGGGAATGGATGTGCTGGTGGCGGCCGACGCTTGGTGCCTGGCCCAGGCAAGAACAAAGGTGGTGGGTAGACAGGCGGCTGGCCGGGCGGGTTTACCTGCTTGCCCCTGTAGAACAGCCTCTGCAGGCCTGGGTCCACGTGGAACAGCTCCTGGATCTTCCGCCTCAGCTGTTCTACCTTGGTCAACCTGGACAGTGAATCCACGGTGTGGGTCTCCTTCCCGTCCATGGTGCGCACCTGGATCCACATGGTGTCGGTGCTGCGGGGGGGGGGGGAGGAGAGAGGACAGGACCCGGAGGTCAATTCTGCTGCCGCCACCAGACCGTGCTACGCCAGAGTGGGGTCACGGTTGCCTTTGTCCAGTCGGTGGACACCAGAACGCCCTACCAGCCTCCTAATCCCCATACACTGCCACACCTGGCGCAGGGCCAGGCAGAGTAAATGACTGAATGCATTAATGATCTGCAAGTGCTGAAGATTGAGCAGGAAGGGGGAACGAAGGAAGGGCAAAAGGGACCTCGGACCACGCAGCCCAACCCACCCCCCGCTTTCACAGAGAAAAACACCAACGTCCAGACAAGGAAGGAGGCCGCGGCGAAGGGCGCGCACCACACGGGGAGTGGCCGAGCCGGTTCATTCATTCACTCTTCGGGTTAATATATACGGAAGAGGGGATCCTAAAAGTCCGGTGCGGGCCGGAACTTCACAAGTCCCGAGGGAAGTCAACCAAGTGCGACTGAGGGGGGCAGAACCCCACCCCAGACCCGCGGGTCCCGGGACTCCCTCGTGCCCGCAGCCCCCGTCGCCCCCCGCGCGCGTGCGCGACACGGTCCGCCCCACGGTGGCCATGGCAACCGGCCGTCCCGTCCCGGCCGCCCCAGCACGCCTCACCTCGGACCCCCGGCGGCTGGCGCTCCCCC